AAAAAAAAAAAAAAAAAAACAAAGTTCCTTCTCTACCACACTATGATGCCTTCGTTCGTCAGTATTGTGTACGGACACTCTGTAGTGATAGGTTGGTTGTGTTTTAGCAAATAAAGCTTGCCTGAAGATCAGAGTACAGAGCTAAGCCAATAGAGGCTAGGTGGTGGTGGGTCTCACCTTTAATCCCAGTATTTGGGAGTTCCATGCCTTTAATATCAACATTAGGGAGGCAGAGACAGGAAAAGATATGACTGGGCAGAGAGAGGACTATAAGACAGGTGACAAACTGCACCTATTGGCTTTGTGGGAGCCTAGGCAGTTTGGATGCTCACCTTACTAGACCTAGATGGAGGTGGGTGGTCCTTGGACTTCCCACAGGGCAGGGAACCCTGATTGCTCTTTGGGCTGATGAGGGAGGGGGACTTGATTGGGGGAGGGGGAGGGAAAGGGGAGGCGGCGGTGGGGAAGAGACAGAAATCTTTAATTAAAAAAAAATTAAGAGCTCAAAGCAGCCCCTCACCTTCTGACTTATGCTTCCTCATTCTGCCACATCTGGTTCCTGGTTCACAATAAACCTCAGCTTCCTTTCTCCTCTGTGCCTCGTGCCTCCTCACCGTGGAATCGAACGCCGCTGGCTGAACTGTTATTTCTTTGCTTGGTGGTATAGAGTTCTAATCCCCAGAAGTGCATACAATACCATGCAGGCTCAGTAAATAATGACATAGAGCTAAATTCTAGTAATAACCAGGTGAAGAAAGATATAGAAGAATGTCAACAATGTGGCCACGTTAGAGAAAGACTGTGTATATAAATTCTGCACACAAATGATAAGTATTTGAAAGGCTATTGCAGAAGCAGGATAATAGCCTCCCAGTATGTCCATTTCCTCGTCCACAGAGTCTGTAAATACGTTCTATTACTGCTGAAGCCCTGCTTCTGCAGGGCGTCAGGTCCCAGAGAGGGTGTGTGCAGTTGGCGGAGGAGTGGGGGTGGAGGTAGGAGACGAACGTGATCTGAGGGTGAATCAGGTTGGCTGCCAGCACGCTGGGGAGGAGCTTATGCCTTGTATTCTGTATGGTCTCAAGTAGGACTAAACAAGAGACGAGGGGCGTGTGAGCTGGGTGAGGAATCTAGCGTGGGCCCTGACAGTGGGCACCAGTCACTGTTACTGGAAGGGCCACAAGCTCCTCTTGCTAGAGATAAGAATTTTTATCAAGCAGGAGCTTTCCTCAATCCCCCAAGGGACCCTTATCCAAATACCTGACCTCAGAAAAAGGAGGTCTTCTGGGGACCAGACACTATACTACAGTTTCCTAGTTTTGCTATATAGGTCTATTCCCCCTTGTAACACTTCCTAAAGGGAGGTCCTATGTCTCACTCTTTTCCTATTGTACTGTACCATTCTGATTTCTCTGTGTTTACTTTATTTTGTTTTTCGAGACAAGGTTTGAACTCTGTAGCCTGTCCTGGAACTAGCTCTATGTAGACCAGACTTGCCTCGAACTCACAGAGATCTGCCTGCCTCTGCCTTCCTGAGTGCTGGGATTAAAGGCGTGCGGCACCACGGCCTAGCTTCTCTGCGTTTATTAACTGAACTCTTGCCTTTAATGGCCTCAGGATCTGGACCTGAACTGTAGGCTTTTTATCCTTGGGATCAGGTGTGTCTGGTCTCTAACTTTCCTGTAATTAGGAGGGCACAGTGGGATTCCTGGTTTCAAGGTAGTGGTTTTTTTTTCCCCAAAGATTTATTTTGTTTAGAGAGACTACCAATGTACACATTTTTATCCTTTACCAAAGCCCACACAAAATCTCCCAAAGGGAAAGACATTAATATTGAGAATCATTAAGAATGAAAGTAAAACCGTGCTCGTGAAGTGTGGTCTGCAATGTTGAAGCGCTGGAACTTTGTCAAACAGCAAAGGTCGCCATGCGGTCCGTACCAGCTTACTGTATCAGTTACTCTACTGTTGCTGAGATAAAACACCACCGCCAAAACCAATTTATGGGCTGGGGTGTAGCTCAGCCGGGTGAGTGTTGGCCTAGTGTGTGTGAAAGCCTGCGTGTTCTAGTACAGCTCTACAGAAACAGGTGCAGTGGTGCACACCTGCACTCCCAGCACCAGGGACGGGGAAGCAGAGGTCTGGACTACATGAAACTGCTTCAAACAAAAAAGAAAAAGGAAGGCAGAAGGGGTCAAGGGTACCTGCTGCTACTCTTCCAGAGGACTTGGGTTCAATTCCCAGCACTTCTCTGGTAGCTCACAACTGTTGAAATAGGAGCGGCGGCGGGGCTGCGTCCCCAACACCCCGGCCGCTTGGCTAGCTCATGCCCGAAATAACAACACACAAACTGTATTCATTTAAAAACAGCTTGGCCCATGAACTCTAGCCCTTACAGGCTAATTCTCGCACCTGGACTAGCCCATTTCTAATGATGTGTGTAAGCACCCCAAGGTGCGCTTACCGGGAAGATTCCAGCCTCCGTCCATCCTGGCTCAGAGCTGCCTTGGAGAGCGGAGCCTGGTGTCTCTGCTCCAGAGAGCAGAGCTGTCAGGTCTACCTGGGAGAGTTGAGCAGAGTCTGACCTCACTTCCTCTTCCACCCAGCATCCTATTCTGTTTACTCCTCCCACCAATGCTTTAACCTACGAGGCCAAGCAGTGTGTTTATTACTTAACCAACGAAATCAACAGATTGATATATGACACTCCCACATCACACAACTGTCTATAACTCCAGGCACAAGAGATCTGCCCACTTCTGGGCATCTAGCATACATATGATGCACAAACATACATGCAAGCAAAACACCTACACACATACAAATAAATAGAAAAATTTTAAAAGAAAATAGTAACACAAGAATTAAAAAAAAGATTTAAAAATTCACTCAGGTTGTTAAAATGTGGTTATCATTTACTATTTGATATAGAACAATGGATGACTGGACAATCATCAACGTAATTTTATTAATACAGACATTTGCAAACAAAGTGAATGGTAGTAGAATTAATAGTCTTCTGGTAACTTCACCTTCTCATGTACAATACTGAAAATTATTTCATTCATGTTTACTCCAAATTCCCATTTTTAAACATGAATCACAGAAAAATAGGCTTCTAAAATATTCTGGAACCATACTCTATCACAAACCTATATTTCATGTTGTTGGACAATTTCATTTATAGTAATATATATATAGTACTATCACCTTAAAAGCTAAATAACTCCAATAAAAGAAAAGAATTGCTTATTATGCTAACTATGGCCGATCACTGAAGCAGAAAGGCCCCGACTTCTTGCTGAGGACTCAGGGAAGCAGAAGGGCCCCGACTTCCTTTGAGGATGTAGGTTTATTTGTTTAATCATCAAAAACTTTCCAGAATGACTTGTTTGGCCCCAAATCAGTGTCAGGAGCTGTTCTTCCAAATTCCATCTCTCTGCTGTCTGGAGATGGACTGGCTCCTCTCCACCCACCTTGGTTTCCTCCTAGGTACCCAACTCTGTGCTCAAAGTGATTAGCCAAACCCGAGAGCCCCAGATATGCTGAGGGAGAGAACGACAGTCTCATCAACTCCTGTCGTCATTTGCTAAAGCCGCCAAGGAACAAACTTCAGATACCTCATTATCAAAGGGACCCCAAGATGGGAAGTTGAGTTCCCAAGACAGTAATTTGGGTTCTTATGCTGCTGAAAAGTCTCTATCTAGGGAGTCTGGGTTAGGACACCGTGGGGCTTAAGGAGAGTTTATGGGAACTTACCTTTTCAACTTGTGACCAGAGAACAAACCAGACGTGAACTCTTAAGGACTTTTGTTTTCTGAGACAGGGTCTCTGTGTAACAGCCTGTCCTGGAACTCGTTTTGTAGCCCAGACTGGCCTCAAACTCACAGAGATCCACTTGCCTCTGCCTCCCAAGTGCTGGGATTAAAAGCATGCACTACCACTGCCCAGCTGATTGTAAAGATTTTTGCCCCCTCTAAAAGTTAAAAACTCTTTAGCATTGGAACCTATTTTTAGAACTTTTAAATCAACTAGTTTAAGACTAACTTCTGGCCGGGCAGTGGTGGCGCACGCCTTTAATCCCAGCACTTGGGAGGCAGAGGCAGGCGGATCTCTGGGAGTTCAAGACCAGCCTGGTCTACAAGAGCGAGTTCCAGGATGGACAACAAAGCAACAGAGAAACCCTGCCTCGAAAAACCAAAAAAAAAAAAAAAAAAAAGATTAACTTCTGTAGCCAGTGGATCTTAAGTTAGCTCCTGTACTTGCCTGGCTGTTTATTTGTCTAGTGCCCACAGGGAAGGTCTTTGTAAATACCAGAGTCCCAGCAGGCTATTTCCTGACCTTCAGTTTTCCTCCATCCAGCAGGTGATTCAAAAGTTTTTCAACAGTCTGGAGCTAAAGCTCAGAAATATACAGTAGCAAACCTGCAAAAACTGTCACCTGGAGATTTTTTTTAAAGATTTATTTATTTATTATGTATACAACATTCGGCCTCGATGTATGCCTGCACGCCAAGGGAGGGTGCCAGATCTCAGTACAGATGGTTGTGAGCCACCATGTGGTTGCTGGGAATTGAACTCAGGACCTCTGGAAGAGCAGCCAGTGCTCTTAACCTCTGAGCCATCTCTCCAGCCCCTCACCTGGAGATTTTTAATTTAATAATATTTATGTGTATGTATATCTGTGTGTGTATGCACAGGCGCGCACAGACACGCAGGTGTCAACAGAGGCCAAAGACAGCACTGGATCACTGAAGCTGGAGTTCGAGGCAGATGTGAGCAACCTGACATGGAGCTGGGAACTGAACTCTGGTCCTCTACAAGAGCAGCAAGGACTAAGCACTCTTAACCCCAGGACCCTTCCCTGGCTGTTTCTCCATCCCCCTTCTTTTTTTTTTCCTTGAGATTTTTAAATTTCATTTGGAGACTTTAGTTGGTTAAATTTCATTAACTTCTTCAGTTTTGGGTTTCAAAAATACATCTTTTGGTTTTGTTGTTTAAATACCTACATTTAGAAATGTTGACAGCAACTGCCTTTGAGTTCCTAGAGCTTCAAAGGGCACTGAGGCTTCAGGAGCGCCCCAGCGGGTCGAGGATCTGGTCTGTCCTACCCATCACTGCAGACTGGCCTGACTCAACCTTCCCTTCAGAAGGCAGGCCTTGTTCTTGCCACAACCTTATTTATAGCAATGCTATAAATTTTCTCTCAAGTTGGTTTCTTATGTTTTTTCATCTATCACCAGGGGTGTGCTTAGTTCTGTAAACACTAAAAAGGCACACAACTCTCAGGTCCCTGGGGTACGACAACCAATTTCAGGTTCTACAGCTGCTGTCAGGGCAACTCAAGACTGACCAGAGCAGGAATGACCGTGAATGTCAAAAGAGTCAAATTTTAATGAATTTCCACAAAGTTAACCAGTTTAGAAAGCCTGTCTTGACTCTGGGCGCTTTCTCTTCTTCCTGGCTAGCGTCGGCTGGCTTTTCATCTGTGCTTTCATTTGCTTCTATGAAGACCTCGTACATTTTCTGAACTCTGATCACTTCCTTCTGGGCATCAAAATGGACTTTCTGCCTGGTGAGGATGGGAACAATCAAGTTGAAATCACTGATTCGCTTGTTTAGCTTTTGGATGTTGTCTTGAAACTGCTCACAGGCTTGGTTCCACTGTTTCTGCCCTTCGGGTGTCAGAGGGTTCCCAAGTTTCTTCCTAGATACTAACAGTCCTTCTCGAAGTTGCTCAATGGTATCCTTGATTTCTTTCTGCATCAGAATCCACTCTGGTTGGTATCCATTATCTATCAATATTCTGTTTAAGTTGTGAGTCATGGGATCAATATATGAACAGCCAGAAAACTTCTTCAGAGGTTTTCCTTTCCCAGTGAGGTTGTCAAAGTCTCCTCTGGCCATCGATTCCTGGATGAGGTCCTCCACCAGGCGTTCTATGGCTTGAGTTATCTTTTGTTCTTTGCTCTGTCTTACATCTTTGACAGTTAAGCTATTGGCAAAGTGTTCCCTCTGAAGTTTCTGTTTTTGATATTCCATCACCTGCTCCGTTGCACGGTCTGCCCTAAACTGTCTGTACTGTTTCTCTCTCTGACTTGGTGTCCCAAAGCCAACGCCTTCGAAGCTTAAGTAATGCCGGTGCTGAGGTGTACTGTATTTGAATTTGTCCTCTTCTTCTGTGTCTTCAGCTTTGTTCTGTCTGGCCTGTCTTTGCTCTATCACGTGGGAAAGCACATTCCGATAAGCTTCTTCGATCTTTATAAATGTTGCAGAATCAGCCTTATTAGAGCCACTGTCTGGATGATACTGTCTGGCAAGCTTATGAAAAGACTCCCTGACGTCATCTGCAGAGCATCCTTCATCTAGATTCAGCAGCCTATAATATTCTTTCATCTTCTTCTTGGATTTATGGGTTGAGATCATCCTAGATCCAGGATCTGACAGCATCTTTACCCCGTGAGGAATCAGTGAAGCATTTATGAGGTGTGGTCTTAAGATCTGAGCCATCTTCATGCATACTGTGTTTATCATTGTATTCAGAATTCTTCCTAACCATGACCTACAAAACAGTCATGAGCAACAAACCTGTATTATCAGTAATTTTTTTTCCCAGTAACAAAGTTAAGGTGTGGGTTACATGTTCTTAGTAAGTGTCAGCTGTTGGGGGCAAAGAGAGTAGACTGAGGTTTGGTGCCAACACACAGATGACAGCTAGCAAATGTCCCTAACTCCAGTTCCAGGGAGTTTAACACCTCCTTCAGGCCTACTCAGGCATTGGATGCATATGGTGCTTAGACATACATGTAGGCAAAACACCCATATGCATATAAAAAAGAAAAAGTTAGTTCTTTGTAACAAAGTTGCTATGCAAAAATATATACTTTTTTCTTTGTTTTTTTTTTTTTTTTTTTTTTTTTTTTTTTTTTTTTTTTTTTT